CCGCTCCGCGCGAACTCGCTTTGGTGGCCGTGGAAAGTTACTTTAAGTTCTGCTGAATATTTGCGCGTGTTACCGTGGCTGCGCGTCCAGGTAGGTTGTCGCCGGAGAGGTCCCTTTACCTCCTCCTTGGATAACTACACGTTAATTATCACACACGGTCTTCAGCGGAGAGAACCAGGAGTGCCTGAGTGAGCTTTGGATGCTTAAACGCTGAATAACTAACTGTACATTAATTATCACACACACAGCGAGCGGAGAGAACCAGGAGTGCCTGACTGAGGTACAGGAGTGCCTGAGTGAGCTTTGGATGCTTAAACGCTGAATAACTAACCATACTTTAGTTATCATGCACACAACGAGCAGAGAGAGCCAGGAGTGCCTGACTGAGCTGTGGATGCTTAAACGTGTTTAAAAACCGGGGAACATCTCCTCGGTATTGCTTAGCACTCGAAGTGCTTCCATCAGCAAGCACCAGACGCTGTTTAAAAGGAAATAAAAAGGTAAAGCTGGTTGTGTTGCAACGATCTTTGCGCCTCAGCAGAACGTGGTGCTCGGGTGTTAAAACTCTTGCACTTTGAAATCAGAAGCGTGGGATTGCGTATCGAGTATCGTCAGGTATGACAAATAAAAGATTGCACCGAGGTCTGTTAGACACACAAAAGATGTTATCTAAATAAAGCTGCTTCAAACTGGTCAGACTCGCTTTCTGGGATGCAGCAGACCTTATTGGAAGTAAAAAGGTCTGTGGCAAAATCACGTCTAAGTACAAAGTGTGCAGAACAGGCATAAGGTAGAGTTTTGGGAAGAGTGAAAGGATGTCCAATTGAATTTTTATGCTCTGATAAAAATTCATACATATAAAGGGGAGAAAACCCAAATCTCTTAGCGTTTTTAATATTTGGTTTTTTTTAGTACCACTTCCAAGTGCAATAATTACTGGATGTGCATTTTTACACTGTGGCTGCTACGCTTTAATAATTTAAAATATTCTAATGATCTAATAATACTTTGATGCAGTCCCTGTACCTTAATATTAGAGAAATCCTAATTATGTTAGTGAAGCTACAGGATTAGAAAGTCAGCAGAAGTATTAAGGCTTATTTATTTGTCTTACAGTTTGTAAAAATAGTGTGTTGTAGTTGAGGTATGAAACTTAGTGAAAGTCTGAGAACTCTCTTGGTCCTGCTGATCTGTTCTTCAGGAATATAGTTGCTGTTCTCAACAATACTTGCTGTCATAACCCTTTCCATAAGTGCATCTCAGGGATGTGCTGTATTTTTCACTTGTTGGATTTTCATATTCAAGTGGTTTGGGGATTTACCAAGGCGTATTTTACGTTAAAATGAATTTTGGTTTGGAGTTTCACTTTTAATTTTATAGAGTTAACTGTAGCCCATAGTCCTTGTATTGGCAGAGAGATCTTGGGGACCTGGGCCTTGCTGGAACTGCAGTCAACAGAGTTCCTGGTGTTCATCTGTTGTGGAATAGGAAAAACCTGAGGGGTCTTCTTGTTGACTAAATTGAGGATTATTAGCAATAAGTGCATTTGCAGGAGCACTTGTGTTGACTTGAGTAAATACAGTTGGCGAGGGAAGGATGTGATCTTGAAACACCAAAATTTGTTTCCTGCCTTCAAGTCACAATAACAACATGAACTTTTGGAAGAAATTATTGAAATTTAGGATTGGATTATTCTGCCCTTTTTTGGGAGGGTCTTTGAAGTGCTGGGGGTTTGGGGCTGAGCACTGTGCTGTTCTTGTCTGTCCTTGTATTCCTGTGCCTGTCACCTGTAGAGTTTTGGGACTCTGGGAATTCCCTAAGCCTGGGTAGGAAGAGTTGGTGTCATGCTGTTTAAGCTTCAAACATCCAGTGAACTTCTTTCCTCCTGAATATTGGATTAATAAGCATTTTCATGGTAGTAAAAATAGGCGTGAGAGTGTTGATTATAATCAGCTGTTGGAGATTATTAAAATGTGATTACAGTCTACAAAGAAACAGGAAAATAATTGTTCACATTTTATTGATCAAGCTGCATGAAGTGCAGAAGTACTTGGAATTGGGCAGAATATGGTAATTTGGGTATTTTCTGCCCACTGGACAGGGAGGATGGCATTTCACAGGACTGTGTAGTTGACGTAAGCACATGCTGTGTGCAATCCAGGAATATTGGGAATTGCATAAATGCAACCTCACACTCAAATACTTCTTTTTGCAAGAAATACCTCAGAAACCAGTTGCTTAATTGCCTGGTTGTGACAAGGAAGACAAAGCTGAAACAGCAAAGTGCCTGAAAACTCAAATATTCTGCTGGAAGACTGGGCTGCATTGAAAGTTGGTGCCCTCCCAAAGGCACGCTCAGGAGCTGAGCTCTGCTGCTGTTGTGCAGGAGCTGCTGCCTGTGCCAGTTGAAATAAATACATCTTTGATTTCAGGCAGTGTTTTCAGTGCATCCTCCGGAGCATGTTGGGAGCCTGGGCTGACAGAGGCCACTGAATTTTGTCAGTGTTGGGGGTTGCATAACTCCTTTGTGAGTAATTACTGGCAGTGACGTGGATGACTCAGCTACCTAGTTGTGCATCTCCGAAAATCTCCACAACCCCGTGGTGTTACCTTAAGGAAAGAAAGTAAAAGTACTGCCCCTAATTTGAATGATAAGTGCCCTCAGCCACTGCAACAATTTTAGAAAGACTTCTCAGAACAAGTTGCCTTTAAAAGAAAAAGAAAAAAGTATGCGCATTAATGCTCTTAAAGGGAAAACAATGAGTGTCTTTATGCATTGAGAAGTGCTGCAATGCAATAATAATGATTTTCTGGTTTGGAATACCACTTTTAAAGGTAATTTTAGAAATGTGCTGTGGTATTCTGGGCTCTAAGAGGAGCCAGTGGGCTGTTGCAGGTGGCTCACCTTGCTTCCTGCAGGATCCCTTTGGAGAGACTTCACAATAACCCTAAATCCAAAGAATTATGTGATTTGTTAATTCATAACATATAGAATTTTGGTCTTTATGTAGATGTACTTCTTTACTACATTAAGAATAAAATTTGAAGTATGTTGTTTTCATCAAGTTTAAGTCTTACCCTTCTCCAGAATTACCTGCCATTAAACATGATTTTGAGGCTGGCTGGTTTATGCCCTTTGATTCTGGAGTTACAATCATAAAGATCTCAAGTGCTTTAGTAATTCAGTGATCCCTGTGCTTGGGGTCAGGTTTGTGTCTTGTCAGAGCTGTAACTAGTTTGAGGCACACGTAGTTCTGATATCTCATAATGGGAAGGATCAAAATGTTCCCTTAAAACCAGTAATTATATGTTGCTGAAGGTTTGGTGTCCTGGCTGAATGTATGATTTATTTGCCATAGGAAAAGAGCTTTATAACTTTCTCTCGTAATTGATTATGGGTTTCAGGTTTTTTAATTTATTTTATTATAAGGCAGATTGTTTTATCTTCCTCTGCCAGTTGGTGTGTTAAAGAGTGCATGAGAATAGTGGAGAAGAGTTGGGGATGTTTCATAGGAAGATCATGTGTCTTTAAGCTTCAGTTTTGTTCACACTGACTTTTAGATATTTAAAAAAAAAATAATAGAACCTCTCACCTTTTTGGCTGTGCACAGAACTCTCAAATTCCTCAGAGCTATCCCAGGAATTACTCAGTAGGCCAGTGTGTTGCTAATTAAGTTAATGATTCAAACTCTCTATAAATGTAATTAAGAATAAATGAGGAACAAATGTAATCGTCCTAACAGGATTTTTGTTCAAAGGATTTGTTTTCAAAGTCTTTTTGAAATAATTGGGGTTTCCAATGTAAGCTTCCACTGGCATATTTTGAAATAAGTATTTGAGGTGGTACTTCTGTCTGTGGGGAAGGGAACTGGTTAGTCCTGTGTTCATTTGGGAGAATTAAGGTGCAGGTCTGCTGTTGCTGCAGTGAATTCTCAAATGGAAGGAGGAACTGTGGAGGAATCCAGAGCTTTCGGTGATCCTTAGGTAGAATTTTACCTGTTTGAAGCCACCAAGATTTTATGGGAGTGGAAGATGCTTTCCACTTCTAAGAATTGTGTGATGATAAAATTCCCAGTTCTGCTTTTTCTAGAACATTTTTAATTCTGTTTGAATGCCTAAATGAAGACCTGTAGGAACAGGGCAGGATGAACCAGCTTTACACCTTCTCCTGCTTTTCCTTGTGGTTTGGCATTTTTGCTGACCTTTGGCTTCTTTCAGCCAAACCATCACACATTTACCACCTAAGTGGCCAAAACATTCTTAATATGGGGGGGAAGAGGGTTCACATCTTTGGTAACACTGGGATTCCTCTGTAATTATCCAAAGGAAAACGTGCAATAGTAGGTAAGCCTTTTAGCAGCCCACAACGCCCTTTGGATATTCTCCCAAGGGAATGGGGTCTGGTCCTGGCTGGTCATGGGATCCAGGGCAACTATTTAAATCAGGAGCAGTTGGGACTCAGAGCATTGGCTCCCTGAACCTGCACCTCTGGAAAAGTAAGTTCTTACCTGCCAGGTGGTCCGACCTAAGCTTGGAGCTCATCTATTGACATAGTTTCTTTTGTTATTTTATATTAATCAACAATGTGAAGCACTTTCTGTAATTTCCTAAAGTTGCATTTGGAAAGATTGTCAGTGTTTGCTAAATGTCTGAGTTTCAGGTTGTGTTTTCATGGAAGTTAATATTTAAAATGTTCAGTTGGTTGTAGGACTCTCGCAGCACTGAACTGTGAAATGATTCAAGGATGAAGGAATCTCTTTAGAATCATAGCCTGGCTTCTTTAACTGTTCTCTTTATAGAGATCTGTGTTTCTATTGGTTAATAATAATTTAAGTTTTTGCATTCATAGGTATTTAGTAGTATAAGTAATTACTTAGAGGTGAAAATAGTTGTGTCCTATGTATGTTTGTGCATAAATATTCATGATTAAATCAGTAAAAGGAGTTGCACTTTGATTGAGGAAGCTGAATTTTGTATCTGCTTTCCACAGAGGTGGGAAATAAGTATTAATTGTCACTTTTCTTTTTTACCTAATAAGGGGGACAGTGGAAACTTCTAGTCACTGCAACTTGTACAATATAAATAATTGAACAGTAAAGATTTAATTTTTGCCATTGACTTTAATTGAATGACTAAAACTACTTGAGTTCCAACAGGTTTGTTGTGTTTTGTTTCTTGTTTTTTTTTTTTCTTCTTTCTTAATGGACAGTGACCAGGGTTCACAAAGAAATAAGGCAGAAGTGTAGTTGTTATATTAAGTAATAAAAATAGATTCATGCCCTTGAACATGAAATTCTTTGGAGTAAAAGTTGGCAGGTGTCCCAGTCTGTATCGGAAGAGAGAGACTGGGCAGGAAAAAACAAACACAATCCAAGGAGCAACAATGAAGGGGAAAAGTGTACAATAGGAAATTGTTAATTAAGATGATTGCCTGCCATAAAAAATCCAATAACTTAGTGTATTTGATTTGCCAGCAGGTTGAAAGTATGGTTATATGGCGTGCTCAGGGACAAAATAGATCAAATAACACACTGATTTTTGGGTTCAAAACCCCATTTTTTGTGGCTGATTACCTGTTTTGCTGTTTTCAGTGTATACACAGTTCTTCTGGCTGGAAGTGTTGGTTCCTGAGATAAAGTGTTACAAAATTTGGAAAATACTGACCATAAAGAAAGAAAGAAAAGGTGAAATGTGCACTAAATTTGCTTCAAAATAAAGTCCGTGAATGACAAATGAGGATCTTGAGTGGAAACCCCTTTTATTACTAGGTCCAAATAAGTTTTTTGGACAGTTTTGGTGGGTCTCACATGAATTCACACTTGAGTGTAATCTCATGATACTGTGAAAAGAAATTACATGGCATCATCTGAAGTGAGGTTGCAGGTCAGAGCTGGGCTGAAATTTGGTATTTTTTTGTGATGTATTGAGTTAATTCACACAGTAACAAGGCATAGTGGGTGTCTCACCCCTCCCAGCATCTAATTTGGAAAAAAAAAAAAAAAATTGGGACAAAAAAAGGAAATAAATGATGTCAATTTGTAGCACTGGGTTCTCAATTCAGGGTAATGGGTGGGTGATTTTAGGCTTTTAGAAATAAGGGGGGGTAATACAGGAGAGATGGATGATGAACATGAGTTGAATATACCAGGGCTTGGTTAAACTGGGTGAGGATATAATCCAAAAATAAATGCCGGTGTCTTGACGCAAAAATTAGAGATTTAATTTTATCAAAGTCATTAATGTATGAATTAGCTTTTAAAAGCTCCAGTTAAAATCAGGAGTGTGTAGCAGCAGTGGAAGTGGTTGAGGTTTGCTGGGGTGGTACCAACCTGCCTCTCCAGCCCTTCCTGTTCATCCACATTTGGGGGTTGGTTTAAATAGAGGCATGGTCTGGGTGGCATTTCCAGAGTCTCTGTAGTCCTGTGTTTTACCAATTCCCATAGTTTGGTGTCTTAGGCAGGGATTTTAGATAAATTCAGAAGTTCAACAACAACAAAGAAGTCATTACCCAGTCTAAGAACTTTAAGGTTCAACTTCTTCTTTCAGTAAAAAAAATATTGTTTGAATTTCCTTCTGTTATTTCTAAAATTTTGGGGTGAAATCTGTGCCACATAAAGGTAGTGATGCTGAACAATTCACATATAAATTAACAGGTTTTACTAGCAAAATCCATAATGGGATTCACTCATTTTTGTCAGGTATTTCCAGTTTTTAATTAATGCTTTGCATGTCTGAGCAGAGCACATCCTTCATATTTCTGAGGTTTGGTATTTTTTTACAGTTTCAGCATTGAATTGTTTGTTTCTTAGGGAGAGCTTTAACTTCTAAACTTTTTTTTGTTGCAACCCTGGACTTGCTCTTTTCAAAAAGACTTGAAATTGCCTGTGAATCTTTTATCTTCAAACAGCAAATTAATTTTCATCATGAGATTTTAGGGTTTTAGGTCTCTGAAAAGCATCTGTACACAAACTCTGTGCATAACGGGGATTTTATGTGAGTGTCATCTTGTATGGATGGTGTCTATAGCTTTTAAAGAAAGAATTTTAGACTAATTCCAATTAAATAACACTGACATAATAATAATGATGGCATTTACAAAGGGATATGCTAAATGATACATAAGGGAGATGCTAAATATAACTACTGAGTAGTAGTGTTTGTTTGAAACTACAGTTCTAAATTAGAGCAACAAGAACATGAGTTTTCACTTGTGTGCTCTGAAATGTAAATTGGTCAAATGAGGAACTCTGTTAATTTGAAATTGTTGTGTTTTAATGTTGTTTTTTTTCTTTCTTTTTTTCTTTTTCTCCTTCCCCTCTCCAGCTAAATGGCCTTAAAATGGCAGATGAGCCCATGGAGGAAGGTGAACCATATTCCTACCACGTAAGTGTGTTTGGTATCTGTTCACCCCAGACACTCAGTAGCATAACTTGCCTTGGAAATAAAATTTATGCGTTCCCTGCTCTCTAATAACTTTTGAACCCATCATTTTCTTTGACCAAGATCTGAAGAGACTCTTCAGTCTCAAAGATGATTTTGGAAATTAGTGCCTGGGTAGAGGCTTTAAGTGACTTGTTTGGGAAAATCTGCTGCATGAGGCAGAGCTTTATGGAGAGATTCCGTGTGCTGGAGAGCCTCAGAAAATGCTCAGGCCACCCTTGAACCGTTTATAGAGATGCCTCACGTTGCTCTTGCTACACTGTCATCTGCTCTTCCTTTGTGTTTTTAATACATTCAGAGCTCAAAGGTCCTTAATTCCTGCTGGTTTAGAACAGAATTAATTTTTACACCAGTATGTTAATTTTTGCTTTTATGTGGAAATACCCCAGATAAGCCCTATTGAGCATGATTTTTGTCCAGTGCCTCGATGATGGGTGTATTTGGGAGATGCTGAAGGTGAGTGTTCTGTGTGCTGGCTAAACCTGGGACTAAACTTCACCCTAATCCTGCGTGTGGTGAAACACCCGACTTTGCACGGAAAAATTGGACATCATTTTTCAACACAGCCATCCTGATGTTTTTGATCAAAATCATAAAGAAGGTGTCAGGTATCTCTTGCCCAGGGAGGTGGTGGACTCCCCATCCCTGGAAGTGTCCGAGGCCAAGTTGGATGGGGCTTGGGGCAACCTGGGCTAGTGGAAGGTGTCCCTGCCCATGACAGGGGGTGGAACTGGATGAGCTTTAAGGTCCCTTCCAACCCAAACCAGTCTGGGATTCTATAAGTAAATCTTATTGCCAGCTGTAACCACTGCTTTGGGTTGCAACAACTTTTGTAAGTAAGGGATTTAGAGAATAAACTCTTGGGGGTAGAACCATGTGGTGCCTGGACATTTCCTGGTGTGGAGCAGTAAATAAACAGTGTCAGAGCTGCCTCACATGGAGCAGGGAGAGCTGAGCAGTGGCTTGTCTGTCTTTTCTGTCTTTCACTGTTCTTCAACCAGGAGGAGGATGTTGCTGAGCTTGTTTGTCGGGTGCTGGAGCCACATCCCAGAGAGGCTGTAACAAGTCAGGTGGCACAAAGCCACCCGGTGTTCCTTTGAGCACTTTGGCTCCTGGAGAACCTGCTGGGAACAGTTCCCTCTGGTGCAAGGCTCGGTGGGAGCTGGTACCTCAGCTCAGAAATAATCTGCTACTCGAGCAGCAGAGCACAGAATCAGATAACCAAATCTTGCCATTTGTGGAGGCCAGACTAGAAATGAAAATGAAAATGAAACTGGCTGGTGGCTGTTCAGCTCTTTATCTGCTTGGTTCTTGTCGAGGTCTCTTTATACTTCAGTCGTGCCAGTTTTTAGTACCTTAATGCTGGTTAAGTAGGTGAAATTACATAGACATCTTTTGTGAAGGTAAAACACTTTTTATAAGAAAATAACTCATTTCATCCATCTCAAGTTAGTCTTTATTTGCATGGAAAACATTTTTCTCCCGAGTTCACATTCAGAAATACTCTCAGTCTCCGCAGCAACCACGTGTGATGTCACAGGCTAATGACTCGAGGTGGGTGATAAACACCGGAGAGGGTGAACTCTTAAAGATCTTTTCTCATGCAAAGGTTCCCAGTGTTTAGGAATACAAATTAGGATGGTGAAGAAAAAAGGCTTCTAAATAGAGTATTTACATATTTCTTAGGAAGAACCAGCCATTAAGTCTTGGTGTATAATTAGACAACTTGCTGCTTTCATCAGGTGACTTGAATTGCTGCTGTTCTTACCTGCCTTAAATTAGGCAGTGTTTAAAAAAATAGATGAGAATGAAAAGATAGGTGCATCTTTGCTCTGACTACATATTTGCATAGTCACCAAGATGGATGGAGGAGATGAAGGTGGGACATTTGCCCTGGATCTTCAGTGTTTGTCAGCTGGGTTTTGTGACCAGAGAGGGAAATAAAATAGTTTGGAGTGTGACTTACAGAATTAACGTTGTTTCCAGCAGTACCTTGTGTTCAAACCTACCTTTGTGTGGGAAGCAGGCAGAACAAACAGGCCTTTCCCAGAAAGAGAGTGAAATAAGAGATAGAGGGGAGGGGAAGGACTCCTGTGCTGGACTACACTCTGTGAATACACTAAGATGTGTGTTTGAACTCTTTCTTTCTCCCTCTGGACAAGCAAAGCAATTAAGGCAGAGGCAGTTAATGCAGTGTGATGATTGCCTCTTTTTTTACCTTTAATTATTGCTGTAAGTATGTATGAATTTAGGTGATCTGATTTCTAGACTGAATTTCTGTGTAAACCCATTTAGAGAATTTCATCCAGATGCTTCTGTATCGAGCCTGAAAAAGCTGATTATAAGTTTTAATGCACAGTCTTGGGCAGCAAGACTTTCTATAGTGAACCTGACTATAGAAATGTTATATAGAATGAATATAGAATGATGTTCTTTCTGAAAAGCAAGTGTTTCATCAAGTGGTCAGGCCTTTTTCTGGTGCTGTTTGCACTTGTCATCAAGAGACAGTAACACACAGGAGGTTGGTTGGGTGTTTCTCTGGGTCTCTGCTAAGAGAAGCTGTCGAGATGAAGACCCTAAAGAGAGCTTAGGAGACAGTTAATAATAATTTGGGTGCCCCAAAGGTGAAGTACTGCAAATCAGGTGGGAGTTTTTTGTGGTTGGGTTGTGTACAAAAAGTTTGTTGATGTTCTGTGTAGGGCTGAGAGGTGCTGTTCCTTCTCTGTGCAAGCTGAGCTTGCTGTTGTAGGTCTTAGCACGTAATTTTGAATTTCAAGGGTGCTTATTTTGCCATCTCGCTCATTTTGGCTCCCAGCAACTTCTCTTACACCATAAAAGCTGCAATACATCATCAGATTTGTTTTCATCATGAATGTTTGTCTTTTCACAACTGGAGCTGCTTTGCTCAAGATGAGAGGGACATGGAAAAGTCAACAGAACATTAAATCACTCACCTACCTCAGAATTACCCTCCTGAAGGAGGTCTCCACACAGGATAATCTTCCCAGGAGCTCTGCACCCAGAGCTGTTCTTCTCTTGGGTGCAAGAATTCTCAGAGTCTTTAAGATGACTCACATTTTATTTATGGTCTCCAAACGAAGCGTGTTCCTCAAGCTACAAATGGATGGCCAGAGTTATTATTTGCTGCCGTGAAAAGCAATAATTACCCTAAATGATGAAATTCAATTTGGCTTTCATTAAGACTTATTTCAGGAAAGGGAAAGATGAGAAGAGTAATCACTGGGAAAACTAAAGGCTGCTGAAGAGAAGTGAAGCACAGAAGTCTTGGTTGAAAAATCTGTACATTTATGCCTTTCATGGAAAAAAAAATGCATTTTTGCCGTAGCTGAAATATTTCTGGCAAAAGGAAATGGGCATTCTTTGAGAATTTTGTTTCAGTTTAGAAATTTTAGATGCATCTATTTAAGAAAGGATGGATGGGAAAACTCTTCATTTGAACAGCTTTCTTTTATGCCTTGTTAGAATTTCGAATCTTTTATTAAGATGAAACCAAACCAAGAGAAAACCCCAAGTATTTACATGCTCTTCTAGCAAGAGTTGGTTAATCCAGGCCTGTTCACTGTTGTATTTTCTTTGCTTTGAAACAACAGGATGAAGGAAGTGTGAAAGAAATTCCTATTACACACCACGTGAAAGAAGGATGTGAGAAAGCAGATCCAGCACAGTTTGAACTACTTAAAGTTCTTGGACAGGGATCATTTGGAAAGGTAAGATGATAAAATAACCTGGGAAACATATTTCAGGTTTTTCATTTTGCTGTATCTGTCAAGTGATCTGCAGCTTAAAGACACTAAGTGAACAATTATTCAAATAGCAAAGAGAAGAAACATGGCAGCTTTGTTACAATAATTTCTTTTTGTAATGTGCCACTTGGTGTCACATTGCAGAAATGAAATCTAATATCTCAGTCACTAGTTTGAAACAATAGTAGTTGAAATATTAATTCAAGTGTATAAGAAGGTAATTTATTTTTTAAAACCAGACTCAAACTAGATCTTTTTGCAGCACATACAAAGTAGTCAGTCAGCTTTACATACGTTTCCATATTCCCCTTCTTCTGCTGGTTCTGTGTGTTTAAGCAGGAACAAACCTCTGCATGGAATTGAATGAGAGAGGAAAAAACCAGACATTAGGAAGGCATTCTGTGAATAAGTGATAGCATAGAGAAAAGATTTTTAAATATTTCTTAATGTTTTACAGCTTAAGAAACATTTCTTTATCTGGTAATGTTGGTTGCCAACTCCCTCACACACTTCTCATTGTCAGAACCTAAAAGGCCCCATATATTTATTACTCCTGAGTTGAGATGTCCTAAGCTGTCTTAGGGTTTAGCACATCTTAGCCCTGACTCAGACACATTTTACTTCCCAGAGTTCAGGCTTTTGAAACCTGGCAGTGCTTGGCTCAGGAACCAGCTTTAGGAGCTGGGTGGTGACTGAACAGAGATCTTTTTATCTCTGTTGCTTTCCATTGGAAAGAGAAAACAAACAGGGAAGATCAGTGGCTGTTGCCTTCATGGTGTTTTGTTTTCCCTTTCCAGTTCCCACTTCCCAGGGCCCTTCCTTTGGGTTTGGCAAACACCAGGTTGGTTTGCTGCAGCCTCTTTTTGACATCAGGGCAGGATTTAACACTTCCACAGAAATAAAGGGTTAAACTTGTCCATCACTGAATTTCTCTCTTCATCCTTTGATAACTTTCCAAGGCAGATGTGGGGTTATGGAGGCTTGGTCTGCAAAATTAAATAAATCAGTGGTGTTTCAGTTTTTTTCACTGGCAGCTGTTTTGGGCCTTATCAGCTAAAATTTGTAACTTGTACATGAAGTCCTTACATCCTCACAAGCTGCTAGTTGTAAAGCACTGAAATATTTGTATGTGCTTATTATTAACATTTACTTTTATAATTGTGATTGTGTTCATCTACAGATGTTATCTTAGTTGCTGGTGTTCAAATTATTCCCTTTATTTGAGCATCAATGTGACCTGAGAGGAGAGCAGTCAGTCATTGGGCAAAACTTCACAAAACAAAAGACCTGATAACCTTGAAATATGATGACATTTTTCTTCTAACCAGAGCTTAAAATAAAAACAACCTTCTCCCAACCCTGTCCCATTTAGTCAGTGACAGTGTTTGAATTTCTGATGGTAGAATGGAAAATTTGACAAGATTATGTTAAAAATACATACAATTTCTAGATAATAATTTCTAACAACGTATATGTGTAAATAAATCCAGTGTTAATGAAAGTCTGAATAAGGTGAGATCAGAGAGGCAATTTTGGGGAGCTCTTGGCTCTCTCTTGTGACTTGTACATTGTTTTTTACAGCAGAAACATTACTCTTAACTAATAATTGCTCTTAAAAGAACAGCAGTTTAAGAACAGAAGCCATTTTGTCAGTTGAAAAACCCAGGAGTTTGAATATTAGTAGAGATTCCTCTATTTGGAATGTGCTATTTTATCTCATATTAGGCTTTTCTTAGTGTCAAGTTATGTTCCATCTATCTGTAAAACTCTCCTGGAAAGAACAGAGTGGAAAAACCTGTTGGAGTTGCTATTCCAGAGGGAAAGGGTGCTTTGATCTTAAATGATGATGTTTCCTTGCTTTCATCTCACCACTTGTACAGAATTCATTAATCAAACCCATTCCATGTTTGAGACTTTGGGTCTTAAACTACAAAAAAAAATCTCTTGGGACGTGACAGAGGAGCCAGAATTGTCCTTGTCCAAGAAAATGATAGAAAGAAACAAATTTCTGTAAATGATTATTTGATAAATAAGGAAAGAATCTGTAGCTTCTGACCACTGTGATAATTCAAAGAGCTTGGTTCTGCTGCAGCTCTAATCTGATTAAGGAAATGCAATTTTACTCTTCCTTGAAGGTGTGTGCTCAGGAAAGAACACTGAAAACTGCCTGGAATTAATAGGAGCTTTGCAAATGCTTTGTGAAAGTTGATATTTGATTACTCAGCTTGCAGTAATTTTAAAAATGGGCTTTATCTTGCCAGGTCTTCCTTGTGAGGAAGATTATTGGTCCTGATGCTGGGCAGCTTTATGCAATGAAAGTATTGAAAAAAGCTTCTTTAAAAGGTATGTGTGTGTCTGAATTGAAACTTGAAAACATGGCTTTCAGTGCACCTGTATTTTAAAAGGTTTCTTTAATGTTTGTCAGTGAGTTCATAACAGTAGCTTTTTTCCAGACTGACTTGTGAGTTCATGTTTGAGAATTATTTTAAACCTGGCCAGGTAGCTTTAATTATGTGGTCAAAAATACTCTTTCAAAGTGTTAAATTGCATTATTTAATTCTGGTTAGTTTTTTTTTCATTATATGAAAACAAATTAATTTCATAAACAGTTCTCCTTTTGTCTTTTGTTATGTTCAAACTTTGCTGTGGTTAAAATTCAGTCATTCCCTCTCCTTCTGGGAGCCAGAGTCAGGAGTGTTTTGGCTTTCAGGAGACACTTTAATGGGTGCAAGTCCACTGTGTGTAAATAGGGACTGTTATAGTTGAAGAGGAAAAAGTATAAGAAAATAAGAAAATATATATTCAGTACAGATAGTTAATTCAGAAGTTGATGTTGAAATCCAGATGGGAGCTTATTTTCTGGGAAGTGATATGGATTATCACCAGTACTGGGATGTATTGGGAAAATGATGACAATGAGGAAGCTGTGGCAGGGAAGGAAATAGTTTTGAGTGTGTTTTGAGGAGACTTAAACATTAAAAAGAAATAAAGTACAAGGAAAGATATTCCTTTAGACAGCAAAGCCTTTCCACATGCCCGTTGCTGCTCTGTTTGTCTTGTACCAAATGTATTTGTTTCATTCTGGTCTCTTCTTTTCTTCTCTCCCCCAGTTCGGGATCGAGTTCGTACGAAAATGGAGAGGGACATTTTAGTAGAAGTAAATCATCCCTTTATCGTCAAACTGCACTATGGTGGGTATATATATTTATTTTTCTTGTGCTACACTTCCTTTCATTACTTGAAGGCACGGCCGCTCTTGTTTTTCCTCATTTTTTTGTAGGGTCCAAGTTAAGTTCTAGTAGCTTTAAATCGCAGGGCTTGAAAAACAAAAAAAAGGAATGTAAATACACACCTGTATAAAAGTTTTAGGTGAAGTTCTCCTGAAATTAAAGATTTGGCAAATTCTTACAAATTCAGCAGAGATTTTTTTTTTTTTGCTTTTCATTGAGTAAAACGAAACCAGAGTAATTAACATCCTTGCTGTTTCCCTGTTTGACAGAGGAGAAGTGAAAGAGCAGTATTTTAATCATCTCTCATGACTAAGATTTTCTTCTGTGAAGAAGTGAGGAATCATTCAATAAATTACCTCATGTGCCGCTGAATTATTTCAGCTCCATAACAAAAGTATTGCCTGTGACTGAAATTTCCTGGTTGTAAATCACTCAGATCTATTTTGTAGATCAGCTTTGTCACACAACTATTGATTTTTTTTTCTCTTTTCTTTCCTTTTTTTTTTTTTTAAGCCTTTCAGACTGAAGGGAAGCTCTATTTAATATTGGATTTTCTCAGGGGAGGAGATGTATTCACACGATTATCCAAAGAGGTAAGTACCTAAAATTTTATCTCCACTCTACTCTTAGACAGAGGTTGTTTTTTCTTGGTGTGGGATTGCCTTTTAAAGCTGTTTCCCCCCATATTTCTTGTCACACTCAAGTTTTTATAACTTAGTTGGACTTTCCTTACATATTCTAGAATATATTCTGTCCTTAAGAAACCTGAGTGTGTATTGATTAGTAGCCTAAGTTTTAATTTGGTATCTGCAAAGTACAGTTCTTTTGTCTAAAAATGTTTTGTTGCTTGGAAACGTAACTGAAGTAAATGAATATTTAGCACTGAAGAAAGGGGATATTATAGTTCTCCTGCTCTTAGTCAGCTGAGGTGCTCCTGGAATCCTGCAGCCCTGGGAGATTTCTGCTGCATTGTAAAATTTCACGGGGCTGGAATACAAATCCTAATCCTTAATCCCACAAAATGTGAACATGGAGTGGTTTGGAACCCCCTCTTCTCCCCCAAACCCTCACACACAACTAGACCTTGAATTTTTCATTTCTTTTTCTGTTTTCTGGAGAGAATCCTCAGAGGATGGAATGCGATGCAGCCTGTTGTTATTTTTTTTAAACATTTCCCATCAAATATTTATCACATGTTACCATAAGTGTTATGAACATGTTTAGAGGACTTTTATTTTCTTTTTGCAAACCTTTTATAGAGATCTAAATTTTTAATGGCTCAACAGCTTCACAGTAAGAGAGTTTTTCAGTGTTTTCACTGAGCTTTTCAGTGTAAATCCACTTACATTGCTAAAGCACAGGAAAAACCACTTTCTTAGATGAGAAAACAATGTTATCTGACTGATATTTTTTTTTTTTTATGGCATGAAGGAGGTTGTTTATCCCCAGAATGTGAGGTCATGAGATAATTTGGGGGTTTTTTCCCATATACTTTCTGTAAAAATAAAGATTTTACTTTAGGAACAGGCAAAAGAGAAGGAAGAATTTAAAGGGATTTTTGGGTTTAAGTTTTATAAGAAAGCTGAGCTTGGTAAACAGTGATAATGTCTGAGAATTGAGCTCACTATGAATTAATCTTGAGGCTAAAATGGCTGTTAAAAGCTTCAAGTGGCCAACTTGTCAAAGGTTATTGGAGCAGTAGGTAGGAAAGAGGTCAAGCTCTGTTGAGTAATTATAGAGGAAATTCTGGTAGAACAGGAAGAAGAATTCTCTTGCACCAGCACAACTGGGATTATCCAGAATGCAACTGAGATTAAGAGTTACCTAAGGGATGTAAATCTGTCCATCATAACACTTGTTGGGAGTTGAAAGAGGTTCCCTTTGGGAATAAAGAAATCCTAATTGTCAAGTTTTCTCACTGCTGAGGCTCTATGTGTTTTTTCAGAAGACTTCAGTTACCTTCTGTGGTGACTTTTAAATATTTACTTTGTGCCTAGATATAAAAAAAGCAGGTTTTTGTTTTGTGGTGGGAAGACAAGGTGGTTTCCAAAGTCCAGTGGGCAGTGCACATGAGGGGAAATTCCCCAGGGCATTTCACAAGGATTATTTTAAATGAATTTGGTGTACTGTGATGTTATTGAAAGACTTTGGTCTTTAAACTCCAACGTGGGTACAAGAGCTTCAGCTGTGGAAGTGAGATGAGTATGTAAGGAAGTTTTTATTGGTGATGTTTAATGAAGTTGACTTGCATCACGTTTAATTTGACACAGGGAACAGCTTTAAATGTCATTATTATGGGGAGATGGGAGATTGCCCTTTAGCATCATTGTATTCTGAGATTTGCATTTGGGCTACTCCAGGGAGTAATGCCATCCAAGGAGTAAGGACATTACTGTTGCTTTTCTGATGCAGATGCAAACCAATATCCACAGTGCTCTTCAAAGAAATCCAGGTGCCACTGTGTGGTGTAACAGCTTATTGTTCCTACAAGGTTAACCCCTGTCATTATGGAAATGAGGAAATATTTCTGTGCCCCTGGACCAGATTACATATGTAAAATTCAAAGTACAGATCAGGGCAGCTCTAAATCAGGGAGCTCAGGGACTTTAATTTAAGCCTTGTTAGGCAGCTCCTGTGCAGCAGAGTGGCTGCACCTCTTACTCCTGCTGCTTTCAACAAATAAGGGAATATTTCACTTAAAGCTCACATTCAGTCCAGTAATTTAAAGATTTCAGGGTTCTCCAGTAATCTGTAGAACATGACAAGAGCCAAAGCAGCTACAATTTCTGTGTATTAAATTAGAAGCAACCTGTGGAGTGTTTGGAAGGGCATCTCTCTCGTGCTTTATAAGCAACATCAGTTTTTCAGTGTCTCACCAGGGTTCTTGAATTTTATTTTTTTTCCTAAGAGCAGAACAGGTTCTTCAACTCCCACTGCAAATTGTCATTGTTATTTTTAGCAGTGTTTTGTTTTTGCATGCTTTTTTCTCAATTGTTTCTATTTTTTTCTTTCCTAAATATTTCCTAAATATTGTTAATGTGAATTTTCAGTCACCCAATACAGCAGCTAAATCATTAAATTTTATGATGCAGTGGAAAACTCTCTTTTTAGGATTGTGCCAGAAGGAGTGCTGGTGGTTAATTACACCAAATATAACAATTAAATTTATTACCTAAAAGTTAACTAAAACTCTGCAGTAACTGCTGATGTTATTATTTAAATATTACAGGTAGTTCTTTGTGCAGTTTATAATTAACCTGTATTAGTAAATAATTTCTCTTGGGTGAATTCATGAATTAGGAGATTGATTTTGAAATTTAGGCAGACAGGACTATATGTTTTTAGATTGCAGTTTTAAAAACTGAAGACAAGATCAGAAGGTAAATCTATACAGTTCTTATTAGGTTATGTTTACAGAGGAAGATGTGAAATTCTACCTCGCAGAACTGGCCCTTGCTTTGGATCACCTTCACAGCTTGGGAATTGTGTACAGGGACCTGAAGCCAGAAAAGTAAAGTAAAATGTATTTTACCACTCTTATGTGTATTTTGCTTGTTGCTTTACCTTTTCCACTGTAGTGATGTCAAAAAATTAAATACATTTTTGCTAGACTATGTAAACAAATATAAAATATAAAAATATTCTTTAAATTAAATAATATTCACTTATTAAAGTAATAAGAGAAGTTGGATATAATGTTTTTTAACTTCTATTTAAAGTAACTATATGTAAACATTGCTCTTTATGTGTTTTGGTGAATGTGAATTTTAATTTTCAGCATTTTGCTTGATGAAGCAGGACATATCAAGTTAACAGGTAGGCAACACTCATTAGAACTTTCTGAACATCTTTCTGCATAAGCTTTTCTTTTGTGTTTTTGGATTATCACTTTGAAATACATATAAAAATGCAGGAAAAGAGTTCTGTGAGGAAAATTAAAATAGATCTATTGTAGGAAGTGATGTAAACAAAAGATGATTTGGAAACCAAATTGCTGTGAATTTCTGAAAGCTTTAAATTACTTTTAAGGTGATGCTTTTGTCCTGTAGATTTCATTGTATTTTTGGATCTAAAATATTGCTGGTAGATTCCAAGAGAAAAGGAAGTTTTTTAAACTCTTGAAGATTTGATGGAATAATGGTGATGTTTGTGAAATTCTGCATGTATCTGTTTAAATTTAATTCAGTCTTAAAGTTCTCTCTTCCTTCTGCAACTGGAAATGATAATGGATTATTGATTAGCAATATTTCCCCTATGAATAAAGGGATATTTAAGAGCCTCAGCATGAGAGCTGAGCCAGTATCAAGGACTTGTGTATTCACTGGCAGGAAAAAAAGGATTCTGGGAATTAAGGAGCAAATGTGCAACACTGTTCTTTACTGAATTTGAGTCAGGTTGCAGAACCATGTTGTCTTATGTAACAACAATATTTTTAGTCAGATTTTACTTATTCATCATTCAGTAATACCAGACCATGCAGGCTGTGTTCCCTCTGAAACTCCTTTTTATTTCTATCCAATTTTTTTGTGTGAATAAAGGAGGCAGTAGACACAGAAAAAGGGAACTTTTGGTTATCTTAAGACTCTAAATGTGTAATATTTCAAATATCAAGTTATTTCAGTAATAATATTGATGGCTGCCTGTCCATTTAATGACTTAGAGAACAGTTTTGGTGATATGTAGTGAACTAATGTCTGTGGTATCTCTAGATATATGCTGGTTTTTTCCCTGAAATTCTTTACTGGCTGTGTTCTTGTGATGCTGTTGTTGTAGACTTTGGACTCAGCAAAGAATCAGTAGATCAAGAGAAGAAGGCCTATTCTTTCTGTGGTACTGTAGAGTACATGGCACCTGAAGTGGTAAACAGGAGAGGGCACAACCAGAGTGCTGACTGGTGGTCCTTTGGGGTCCTCATGGTACTGTGCTTTTGCTTCCCTTCCTAAGGTCACAAACACTGCATTGCTCTGAGAGAATGTGGTTTAATGCACTTAGAATAAGCTTGTCCAGTTTTAATTATCAATGCTTGGGTAAGGGGGTGAATTCAATAACTGAATTGCCACTGTAATGGCAACTTGTTTGAATAAAATTGACTTTTCACCTGCTTAACTCTGTATGGAATCCTTACGAGGCACCATAAAGCTCATCTGTGCCTTCCAGACAGTGAAATGCCACTTTGTGTATTTATTTTGCATGTTACTTGATAGTTAAGGAAAAAAACCCATACTTGAAGCCTTGGTTTGAAGGAGTCTGAATGGCATTTTGAAGAGTGAGCCTGTGGAAGGAATGCTGGAGTGGAGCAGTGGAATAAGTAACTGCTCCCACTTCTACCCTTGCTGGGATGCCTCACAGCATCAGGCTGACATGTGCAGATTGGCATTAAAAGTAAAGTACTGTTCTAGTATTTATTATTCTTGCAGATTTTAAAACATGGCAACGTCTGAATCTTGGTTATGGAGGAGATTTTATTGCCTTCAAGTGGCTTATAAATGGGTGTAAAATGTTCCTCCATCGTCATTAGGTCACCTTGCCACTGTTACCATCGTGTAACTGCCAGGGAGGATTTTAGATTTGTGGCATTTTGATAATCTTTTCGAAGCTCAACCTAATGTAGAGATGATTTAGGGAAGAGTACAGTGCTTAACACTTTGTTTCAGCAGCTGGGGGAAGAAGTGTTGGTTGAGATGAACATTTGTTCTTTGCAGTTTGAGATGCTCACTGGGACCCTGCCGTTCCAAGGGAAAGATCGAAACGAAACCATGAATATGATACTGAAGTAAGTACCTCTTCTTTCTCTTTGGGAAGTCATAAAATGTAATTTTAGACATGTTTTAACAGCTTGTTATAACTCATTGGGCAACCTGGTCTAGTGGAAGGTGTCCCTTCCCGTGGAAGGAGCAAGATGGTCTTTGAGGTCTCTCCCAACCCAAGCCATTTTATGATTCTGAGAGCATTCAGTTAAAACAGGAACAAAAAAAAAATCAAAGCTCCCTGATAAGGTTTAGATCCCAGATCATAAATACCATTAAGTATCTACAGCAATTAAAATCTTAGGGATGAATTAGTTTCCATTGTAGGTGTGTAATAAAGATAAGAAGGGTACGGTGAGTTAGAGCAGCATTATTTGCACCCCTGTTGTTGTACTCCCTTGCCACTGTTACAGCACACCTTGTTTTGTAAGCAGCAGGTGATGAGGTGTTGCTTTGTGTGTGGATGGATGGAAGGCCCTTACAGGCTCTCAAGTCTCATCTTAAATTGCCTCAGTTACAGCAGAGGCTGTTGAGCCAGACAGACTGGGTGAACTGGTGCTTAGTGAGCGGAGCTGTTGGGCAAATATGTTCTTGTCTGTGTTTGTGCTCAGCTCACAGAGAGTTTCCCCCAGAGCACAGGAGAGCCTTGGGCCTTTGAGGGGGTGATGGGGAAGGGCAGGAGGGAGAAGCTTCATTCCCTCAGTTGGAGCTTGCCCTGAGTGTGGGTTTATGTGTTGCATGTGTGAAGGGATGGATTAGAGCACGAGCTGCCCCACTTGCAGCTCCCAAGTGGTGCTGCAGTTCTGCAGAGGAATTTCTTGCCTTAGCATAATAGTTTTCATGAAATAAAATAAATGGTAAAGTCAGGGAGCTTTTATATGATGACTCAATGAGCTACTTGAGGCCCTTGCTTCAAGAGGAATAGTAGCACTTACTTCAGGGCAAGTCATTGGGATTTGGTGATACTCTTCTGGTGTTGATTCTGGTGATATGAAAGTATCTTTGAAAATATTTAGGTATTCCTGAAATAATTCTTTTACTCTGTTTTAGCATAAAACTTGCTTGGGGGGCTTGGTGGTTTTGGTCTGACATGTTCTTTCTTTATTGTTTCCTTTAAACCACACATATAATGTGAAACTTAAAAGTTGATGAGTTAAATACATGCACTCTACAAGACTTAAGAATAGATCCTTGATGCATCAAAGTGTTCAGTAAAAATCTGTGTAGACAGGTTTTAGTAAAATATATTTCTTTCTCTTACTTGTTCTCTGGTTCTTTTTAGAGCAAAGCTTGGGATGCCTCAGTTCCTCAGCCCTGAAGCACAGAGTCTTCTGAGGATGTTGTTTAAAAGGAACCCATCAAATAGATTAGGTTGGTTCATTTATTTGGATCCTTAAATAGCTCAACCCAACTACTTTCATTTCAGGCTCTGGGTGATCAGTAACATTTGGGTTTAGATCCCATTTCTTAGCTTGGATCATGACTTCTGGGTTTGGTAATGAATGATCAGAGCTTGGATCAGTGACTCTTGGTGAGCTTTGGCAGTGTCAGAGCAAAGAATATTTACTCTGTATTTGTGGAGTTCTTGTACTGTGCCTCCCTGATGAGGTGTACTCTACTGAATCCCATCCTTGGGATATTTCTGTATTTACAATTCATTCAGATAACCACATCTGTGCGGATTTTTTAGAAATGAACCAATTTTTAGTGCAATCTTCAAAGATTTACCCAAAAGTGTGTTAAATGCAGTATTTTCTCTATTCAGGAGCTGGTTCAGATGGAGTTGAGGAAATCAAGAGACATCCTTTTTTTTCTACTGTTGACTGGAATGTGAGTACAAAATGATCTGAATGCTAAAGCCGTTGTTAATTTTCCTGTGTGTTGTAGCATTGTCAGTATTTGCATGTGAATAGGGCCCAACAAAGTGCAGCAGTGCTGACTGTCACATCCTGGCTGCTGCTCTCATCTTCCTTGGCATCTGGAGCTGGTGTATTTACGGTACAGAGACTATTAATTATGAATTGGGCATTTAATTTTTAAATAATTAAGAGTTGCAGCTTTCTAAAGCTGAAGTTGTCTGTTAGAGCATTTGTAGCTGGGGGAGGATGCTGGTGTTCCCTCTGGGCAGGAATCTTCCTCTGCAGTGTCTGTCTTGTGCTTCCCTGTAGGGCACAACCCCCTGTGAGTGTAATTCTCTTGGATTTCTCTCCAGTTGCCACAGCACATCCCTGTTTTATCAGTCAGATCCCATTCCCAGTTGGAATATTGACTCTGGTGCTCTGAGATGACCCAAAGTCTGTATGAGATCACAACTCTTGCTTAAATTTTTAACAAACACCTTATGATTTTCCTCTTTGGTTCTCCCATCTTTTGAGATGTGTTTCCCAGAAACATTCTCAAAAGCAGGATGCTCCATATCAAATAAAACCACTCTGAAAACCCTCCTTTTACTGTAATTCCTGCAGAAGGGTAGATGGAATAAATAAGATCTTGCTGTGCTGGCAGGACTATCAGGCCAATGCTGTGCTCACCTATTTCTTTTTCTTATCCTTCTCTTTTTCTCTTGGATTTATTTCTGAAAAGGTGGTTTTATTTCTGAAAAGCTGTGTTTATGCAGAATCCACCAACAAGAATTCTCAGTAACAGCAAAACTTCACTGGTTTATGTGAATACACTTTATAAATTGTTATCTTGTTTTGGCTTGAATATCTACTTACTTTTATCCTAAGGGACTGATGTTGAAATAAATACCAGCAATGAAGTCTGAAAGATCTGCAGTTCTAGCTCTTTCTTTTTAATTCATAATTTTTTTAAAAAGTTGAAAGTAATTTGTATTTATTTCATTCTGGTGGTGTTGATGGCCACTTCTGTATTTTATTTCATTACCTCTTTGGGATGAATTTAGATCCCTGTTCCTTGGTGATTTTTGTGATGTTTGGTTTGTTGGTTTTTTATTTTTTTTTTTTTTTTTTTTAGAATTGAGTTATATTCTGTGTTAATGTGCAGGAAGATTAAATAAAAAAACAGCCAACCTGCAAAAAATAGGTCTGAAAGGAGAAGAGAAATAGAAAGAAAATGCTCTCAGAACTTCCTGACCTTTGCATGGGGCTTTGACATCATTTAACATGAAATTTTCTCTTCCTTAACAGTAAAAGGGACTTATTGCAGCTTTGAGATCACTTGGGCACTGATTTCTCTAAAGCATGTTGAGTAAAGGAGGGGGAAAAAAGCAGAGCCATTGTTCTGCTTTCCCTGATTTAGTTTGGTGGATTAGGGAAAACCTGGACTAGAGCTTTGAGAATGGGCACTTCCAGCCCAGGAGGATGTGCCTTTACCTTGGCAAAACCACAGCACCCATGGAAGGCTCAGTGACTCTTGATTAACTGAATTTTTCCTTCTTCTCAGAAACTGTTCAGAAGAGAAATCCAGCCTCCATTTAAACCTGCTTCTGGAAAGCCAGAAGACACCTTTTGTTTTGATCCAGAATTCACAGCAAAAACACCAAAAGGTAATTAGTTGTGTGTGGCTGTAAATTGGTGAGGTTTGTGGGACAAGAGGGTCAAATTCACATTAAAACAACAAGCAAAAAAGCCAGTGACAGAGTTAAAAGGAGAGGATGCAACAGGGTTCCAGTGCTTTGAAGGAGTGTTTTCTCCTCACAGAGTTCCTGGTCTTTGAAATATTCTGCTAAACTTTGATTCCTACAGAAAAAAATCAAATAAGCGGAATGTTAACAGCTGAACTGTGGTTTCTAGTTATGATTTAAAGTCAGACACGCACTGTTTGTGGGAAATTAATACTAAAAGTAAACTCAATTTGATAGCAGCAGTGATTATTTTTAGGGTCAGTACTTCACTAAGAAGGACCTGCTTTAAGTAATGATTATAATTACTGTTACTTAGTCTGCTTCAAGTTTCACTTCAGGTTTTCTTTTGTGATTTTTTTATTTCTTTTCCTGCTGCATCCAGCTTTTAAAGCCACTTGTTTTTGTTTGGAGAAGGTCTGTGGTTTTAACAGGCTGCACAATATTATCAAGCTGTGCTCACTGTGAGACTTCACAGTGAATTTAGAGGTGCACATAATATAATCTGGGGAAAACTGGGTTCTAATTATTCAGTAATATCACTAATTAAATATTCTTGCACTGCCTCACTTGTGCCTTGCCAGCAGCACATGCACCACTGAAGCAGCACAATCTGGTTGCTCTTCTGTGTTATGAAGTTGTTGAACACAAGACCACGATCTTTATTTCTTTTTCATAAGTAAAGTTGTGTTTCAGTAAATTTCTCCCTAAAAACATATGTTCATGCAGTAATTCCTGCAGTGTTTTCCAGTTCAGACAAGACCCAGGAACACTTGCTTTGTGTTTGTTACAGAAGTAAGAGCAGACAGATAAAAAAACTAGAAGTCTTATCTGGTGTTATTCTTGTTTGCTTCTCTTCCTTCCCTCAGAATGTTTCTTGTAGGATAACTCTCTTAACTGTATAAAAATAGCCTTATTTTGCTGGGATTTATCCACACTAATCACATGTGTCTGCCACCAGATTCTCCAGGAGTCCCACCGAGTGCAAATGCCCATCAGCTCTTCAAAGGATTTAGTTTTGTTGCAACTACTACTGTAGAAGACCATAAAATATCCCCTCTCACCAACATCCTGCCCATAGTACAGGTAACACTTGGGTTTTTGGGAAGCTTTTTTGACTTGTCAGGGACTGACCAATATTTAGTATTTACAGCCTGTTTTGTTTTTTTTTTTGGGGGGGGAGATCATTATAAAATGTGCCTTATTAAAATACTTCCCTGGGATATTTTTGAATTCTAAAAAGTCAGCTGCAGGTTTTCTGGAGGCAGAATTCAAAAGAGAAATCATGGGCAAACAGGAGAAACTTTTGCTGTTGGAAACTGTCATGGCAAAGAGCATCTTGTTGGTTTAGATGACAATTTGAATTTGGTTTTTTTTTGAAGCAGCTTCATGGAAACAGTGCCCAGTTCACTGATGTCTATGAACTGAAGGAAGATATTGGTGTTGGTTCCTACTCTGTTTGCAAGAGGTGTATACACATAGCCACAAACATGGAGTTTGCTGTGAAGGTATTGGAATAAATTTCATTGTTACAGTTCAGAAATTATTGTGTAGCAAATTTGTAAATTTAAATTTATGAATTTTCCAATCACTGTAGCTGATTTTATAAGGCTGAAGCCTGAAAATACTGTACAATTATGAGAATGCCAGAAATAAAGTGAGGTTCACAAGGGTGGAACTGGACTGCAGAGGGAATTAGTGATGCTTCAGACAGTCCATTGCATTTCCTTGCCCACTGGAGCAGGATAGGCTGCATTAATGACAGAATCTTAACAAGGATAGAGCAAGAAATGAATAAACTGTGGGATGTGAAGCTGGAACATGAATTAATCATGATTAATAAGAAGTAATTAACTCTGGAATTTTTTTGTTCTGTTGTTGAAGCAAGGATGTAAATAGAAAAAAAAATGTCTTTATTAAGCAGACTTTGTTTATCCAACTTGTTTTTGCTGTTATATTTGGCAGATAATTGATAAAAGCAAGAGGGATCCCTCAGAAGAAATCGAGATTCTCATGCGTTATGGACAGCATCCAAATATTATCACTCTAAAGGATGTATGTACCTCTTTCTCTGCTACCTCTTACTACACAGTAGTCAAAAAACAAGTACAGATGCAGGGAGTTTATTGGGATTCATTAAATTTCTTTTACATGGTAAAATGTATTGTGAGAGCAGTACCTAGCAGTAAAGGGAGTATTTCAAAATACAGTGTTGTCCTGATATTAATTTTTTTCTAAAGGCTGTTTAATGAAGCTGAAGTGAGAAATGCTGTAAAGGTTAGAAACGCCATATTTCTTATATTAAATGAGTACTAATGTGTTGGTGATCTGAGAAGGCTGTTCATGTTGTCCTGTGTATGCCAACTGCCAGCAGCTAAAAGTTACCTGTGGAAGGGAAGAGCAATAGGGAGTGGTAGGGCTGCTTTCCTCTTGGAACAGAAGTTCTGGGACTGAGAAATACAATTTCAGAGTGATGAATCAACTCCTGATTGACACACGAGCTGCCTCACACTCCGTGCTGTGCCAGGGCCTGCTGTTTGTGCTCCATGTTCATGTGGGAGCAGGGGAATAGTCCAGTGGGAAACTTCAGCTTATCGGGATGTGTAATGGGAGATATTTGCTTTTAATAGATACATTTACATGAATACACTTGTTAAACGTCTCCTCAGGTGTATGATGACGGCAGGTTCATCTACCTGGTGACTGAGCTGATGAAGGGGGGGGAGCTGCTGGACCGGATCCTGAGGCAGAAGTTCTTCTCGGAGCGCGAGGCCAGCGCTGTGCTGTTCACCATCGCCAAGACTGTGGACTACCTGCACTGCCAGGGGGTGAGGGTTCCTGCCAGGCACAGCCTCTCCCACACCTCTTAGAGTTACAAATCCCTTGTGCTATGTGCCTTTATGGCAGAAGGGAGAAAGGTTTTGTATTTTATTACAAAGGTGAATAGTATCAACAGCTCGTTCTGTTATTCTGGCAAACCCTTTTGACTCTACAGTTTATGAAACAGCAGATGTTTGTTCTCTTGTGCTCCTTGGCAAATGGTGATGTCAGTTCCAGTTACATTATGAGCTTTTTATTACCTTACTTGAACTAGAATTTTCCATTACTATAAATTAACATAATTACTTAGAACTGTTAATAAGTATATTCATCTAGACAACAGTTTTTATAAATTGCAGATTACATACAAGCAAATGTACATGCTCCTTCTAAATGGTGCCTTTTCAAATTTCTTGATTTAAAGGTGGTGCATCGAGACCTCAAACCCAGTAATATTTTATATACAGATGACTCCAATAATGCTGATTCCATCAGGATTTGTGATTTTGGATTTGCAAAACAGCTTCGAGGAGAAAATGGACTCCTCCTAACCCCGTGCTACACTGCAAACTTTGTGGCACCAGAGGTATTTTAAGCTGCTCCGTGTTTTCTTTATGCTGTTTTTGATGCATCAGATACTTAAACTTTTTAGCAATGCTTGAAAAAAAGAAAAATTCTGCTAGTTTTCCTTAAATATAGTCACATATCCTTTACAAAGACTGGTGCATGTGTTTATTATAAACCTGCTTTAAAATAACAGAGTCCACCCTCAAAAATAAGATGTAAGCCTGTTGAAAATCTTAAGAGATGATGTTCTGGGAACAAGAAGTATTGTTGGTATTTACTACAATATTGAAAAATCAATAGTCAAACCTGTGACATGATCCAGGGATTAACTTACCCTTTCTTTGGACTGGGTAGTGGTGTTGGTTTGGGGTGGTTTGTGATCCATGAAAAGTCTTTAACACTCCCTTTGTTTCACAGGTGCTCATGAGACAGGGATATGATGCTGCTTGTGACATATGGAGCTTGGGTGTTCTTCTTTACACCATGTTGGCAGGGTGAGAAAGATTTCTGAGCTGTTTTGTTTACCTCAAATTCCAGCATGCTGCATGAATCCCTGCTTCCCTTCCAATGGTGAGGTATTACCTCATGGAATGACACACTCAGGTAGAACAGGGAGCTGTAAGTAGAGAAGCAAACACATAAACCAGCCTCATCTTACAAGGAGGTTTAAGGCTTCTCTTTTCCATAGGACATGACTGGGGGATGCCAAGGACTTTCCCCAGTTTCCTCAGAGAATTTAGCCTGTGAAATTACCTGGTGGTTTTCTTTTTACCCTCCAGCCTCTTATCCTCCCCACCCCACACCCTTGGAGTCACCTTCTTGTATCTCCTGGCCCTGTTGTAGAACACACTGGTTTTTAAAAATCTCTGGAGTTTTCTAACTCATCCAGACTGATGCAGCTCTAGGAAGCATCTAGTGGCCAAATGAGAAAAGGTTTTATGAGTTTTGCTCCACTGGAAAACTAGCAGGCTTTCTTGTCTTATGGCTAAATAATTGGAAATTATTCTCTTCATAAATTGGTACTTCTGATGTAATATGAGAAGTATTAATAGTATTTAATAGTATCTGTATATTCTGTGATATGTTTCTGTTGGCAGGGGAATATTGACTGATTCATGAGATGTTTTCCAATTCCTTGCAGTTTTTTATCCCCTAACAAGGTGTTTTGTTTTTTGTCTCTCAACAGCTACACTCCCTTTGCCAATGGTCCCAATGATACTCCTGAGGAGATCCTGGTACGGATAGGCAGTGGAAAATTCTCCCTAAGTGGAGGCAACTGGGACACTGTTTCAGATGCAGCAAAGGTGGAAATGTGTTCTCTTTTCATAATTTTGTAGAATTCAAATGAATGTTACTGAACTCCATAACTAGACTGATCTGTCAGGGCAGTTTGTTATTCTTACCTGTAAATTTTATTGCAGGGGAGGACACGTGGTGCAACCTCCTGCTTGAGGCAGGGCCAGCTGGGAGGTCTCACCAGGCTCAGGGCTTTATTCAGTCTGGCTTTAGAAACCTCCAAGGGTTGGGCACTGAACAGTTTGCCTGGGCAGTCTTTCCCAGTGCTTGGCTGCTATAATAGAATCCAAATCTGGTGTTTGTGGAATTCCTTTGGTGGAAGGATGATTTTTACAGTTATCTGTCAGTTCTAGTAGCTACCCAGTGTTGCTATGAAGTTGAATTTTTTACAGTGTCATTTCTCTGTTGAAGTCATCGAGTGTCTTGTCTTTCTTAGTACTTTAACAACCAATTAGATCTGCATATCTTGCCAAAAATCTTCATTATGCAGCTGTCCCTTTTTATTTAAAAATACTCCATCTCTCGCTCAGTTCCCTGGGGTTGGTGTTGACCTGGTGTGTAGGTATCTTAAACACCAGTGTTACCTTTTCTAAAGATTGGCATTAATATTAATAATAATTACTAATATCAGAATATCTTTTCCTGATCCTTTGGAACTGCACTGTTTGTTCAGTTCAGTAGGAGTGATTCAGAATGCTGCTATCTTAGCACAAGAAACTCACTTCTGTGTATTTAAGAATGCTTAACATTTTGTACCTCCAACAAAGGGAACATTCTGTCAGCTTGTCCATATTTTGTTTTTAGTTCAAACTATTCCTGTCTCTGTTCTGTGCCCTTCCCAGCCAACTCTGCATTTGGCCAACATTGTAATTAGTAGCTTATTGCTGATGCTTCTAACAGGCAAAACCAAGCGTCCGTTGCTGTTGGATTTATTCTTTATGTGGTTCCTTGAAGAAAAAGTTCATTGCTGGTGTTTCACTGTCAATTAATTCAACTGTAATGTGTAGTCAGACCCCAGACATGTAGAATGAACAAGGAGAGCTGTTTGCAAATAACAGCTTTCCTCCATAAGTTCTGTCTGCTAAATTTTAATAGGATTTCTAGTCTTTTAAAGATTCTATTAGTAATAAACATGAAAGGCACCACAGTAAGTTCCTTTGCAATAAAGGCTTGCTCTGTTGAACTGCTGCAATAGTACAACACATTGTTTTGAGCCTTCTGCAGTGTCAAGGCACAGAAAGATCCAATTTGTCTCCTGATCTGGGTGTGTGTGTGTGCATTGTGTTAATCCCTCTGCCACAGTGGGTACTTTGCTCGTTGCTGCCATCAGTACTGCTTTAAAGATGATTTGAAGTGAACAATGTGTTTGATTTTCCTGCAGGACTTGCTCTCCCACATGCTGCACGTGGATCCCCACCAGAGGTACACGGCAGAGCAGGTGCTGAAGCATTCCTGGATTGCCTGCAGGGACCAGCTGCCACATTATCAGCTCAACAGGCAAGATGCCCCTCATCTAGTAAAGGTAAAACACCCTGCATCGTGCTCAGGGAGGTGGCTGTGCAGTGGGTTGGGTTGGTTCAGAGCTACAGACAGAACTCCCTTCTGTTCTTTAGAACAGGAAATCACTTTCTTTTGTTTTCCCTAGAACCTGCAGATTTAACTACAGGAGAAATTCATAGAATGGTTTGGGTTGGAAGGGACCTTAAGGTTCATCCAGTGCCACCCCCTGCCATGGGCAGGGACACCTCCCACTGTCCCAGGTTGCTCCAGGTCCCATCCAGCCTGGCCTTGGACACTTCCAGGGATCCAGGGGCAGCCACATCCTCCCTGGGCAACCTGTACCAGGGCCTCACTGCCCTCACAGGGAAGGATTCCTTCCCAGTATTCCCTCTAAGCCTGCTCTCTGGCAGTGGGAAGCCAGTCCCCTTTATTCCATAACTACACACCCTTGTATAAAGTCCCTCTCGATATTATTGATAAATAATTTTTTTTAGCTTATGTTCAAAGGAAGAGGTTTTTCTGGGTGTTTTCAAAGATTAAGGTAGTTAATATTGAGTTGTCTCGTGAGTCAGGATCTGAACAGCCACTGAACCTGCTGTATTTGGTAAATTGGTGCTGATCTTGCTTGGAAGGTACTAATTCTGCCCTACATTAAAAGGTGACTCCTACATCTAAGGTATACAAAAGGAATACCCAGGAAAGAAAAGGACATGTCAGATGTCACCCATGCTTAGGAATTGGAAGGATTCAGCAGTAAATGTATTTTTCCAAGCAAACTTTAGAGATGCCCATGACCTGCCATAAGTAATTTGGGTTTAATCGAGAACTTAATTTTGAATTGCTTTATTTTCTGATAAAAATATTTATATATATATATATATATATATATATATATTATTTTTTTATATTTTTTTTCCCCTAGGGAGCCATGGCTGCTACATATTCTGCACTGAATCACAAGACATTTCAGCCAGTGTTAGAGCCTGTTGCAGCCTCCAGTTTAGCTCAGCGACGGAGCATGAAAAAGCTCACATCCACAGACTTATAGATCCACTGGGACACCTGAGCACACAGAAGCAAGGGGGAAACTCAACAAGTGGCTCTGTTTTGCCTGACCTGTGATCAAAAGGCATCTATGGTTTCCTGCTACACTACTTGAATTCTGTAAAAGTCCTTTTTTTAAAAAGAAAAAAAAAAAATCCACAGGTTCATACTGTGTTTGTTTTACAGGCTGTATCTGTTAAATTAATTTAAACATCAGGTACACCATAATGAACTTCTCTACACTGTCCTTTGAGATCTGTTGCAAATATTCTTTCACATTCTGTATAGTTTTGCTGGGTTCAGTTAAAAAAAAAAATGGTTTAGGGGACCGTTGCCAATGACCAAGTTGTACATAAAGTGTCAGTGGGAGTTTTCTTTTCTTCACACCTTTAGGCCCCGTTGTGAAGGACAAACTAATTTTGTAATTGGGCACTTATTTCATTCAACTTGATTCATTTCACTTGTCCTTGACTATTATGCAGAGTTGACTCATGTCTTGTGCCAGTGTTCAGTTCATTAGTGTTGATTTGGGAGGTCTGTGTTTGCATGGTGCCAGTAACTGATAAATTCATGTGAAAATACAAACAAAGGGATGTGGAAGATTCTGCACTTGACCCATCAACTTAATTTGATCACTTGTGACCCAAAAGAAGTGCTGGTTGTGACCTCTTACAGGAAAATGAACATTTTTAGTTTTTACCATAAATTGTGTCCTGCACTGTGCTGGAAAAAGTTAAAATATGCATAAACTGTCAAAAGTAAGATCTCAAAACATTTGAGACAACATCATGCAGCTCAATCCTTTGTTGTTTTTGTTTGCCATCCATTAGTAAAACCACTGTGTTATTTCCCTCAGCAGTCTTTCCATTGAATATGAGGTTTGTTTGGCATGTGACACAAACTGACACTTTATTATAACGAACTTGGCATGTGGATTTTTATTTATTTGATTTATTTTTTTTTTTAATAGAACGTTGTTGCTTCTCTCTGAACCTCTCGCTGCATGTACAAATATTACAGAACAGAAATGCAAAATTCTCTTTGCCTAACTGTAGGGGTAGCTTGGGGAAATAAATAAGCCTTGCAGTGTGCCCAGATAAGGGAATTCTGACCAAGGAATGTCACAGTTATGGACAGATTCCTATTGCCAGCACTCCCTTGCCCTCTCTGTCTGGTGTTAGGACTTGAGCTGTTCCTAAGTGCTGTGATGAAGAGGAAATTAATTGCAGGGCCAGAATTATCTTGGAGTTTTCTGCCTCAGAACCTTTGCTAACTGCTGGTAGACTGGGAACTAATGCATGCAGAGATGAAAGTGTTTTCCAAAGTTGTAGACACTGAGGAGTTGTAGTTTCGTAGCAGAAAGACACACATTTTAAATATTAAGTAAATTAGTGGTATTAGACTGTGAAGAGGTAGAAAATCCAAGTGACCAAAAATCAAATCTGGTTTGTCATCATTGAATTTCAAATTACAGGATGCCAGTGGTGGCAGAACTTGGCATTTTGAGGCAGGGAAAAAAACTTCCCAAGAGAATTCTGGCCCAACCACCAGGAGTGGTGGTAGTAACTCAGATCTTACAAGAGGGTGTTGGCTGGGTTTTGTCTGTACCTGTGAAGTACTTGGGGATGTTGGAAGTTCTGTTAGATAAGCTGCTTTCTTCTGTTGTGGTGGGGGAAGATGGGAATTACCTGGCCAAATAGTTAGGTCTGAGTATATCTAGATTTGAGACTTCCTGAGTATAGCAAACATAGGTGTGCTCTTTGTATCATGCAGAACATACCCCATGTGGAATTTCTGGAATGTTGATAGGTGTTGGAAGCTTTAGGGGCCATATGTGCCTAGTTTAGAGGTGCCTGTTTGAAATGCTTGAAAGCTTCTGAAAGAACACAACTGCTTCCTGGAAAAGCTTCTTGTTTAGGACGAAATCTGCCCCTTTTGCAGCTGGTTCATCTTCCTTTTCCTTACTCTGGAGACGTTTGCCAGCAAGAATGCCTGTAAACCTCTTGTCCATACTCTGTCAGGATAATTCTGATGTTAATTCACAGAAAAACTTGAATTCACTCAAGAAAAAAAAAAAACAAAGTGGTGGAAACGAAGCTCCCTGAGCCAAGGTCAAGCTGTGATGTGGGTTGAAATGTAGCAGTAAAAGCTGTGGTGGGGATGAGAGGTAAATGCAAGGCCTGGAACACAATGGAAATGTCAAACTTGCATTGTCTTCAGCTTTCCTGTAAGGCAGCAGCTGGTCTTTAATGGCTTTACCCATGAATCATTTAACAGTGTTTCTATTGGTATTTTCTTTTAGCTTGTAGAAGCACCACATTATAAGCACCTTAAAAGCATTTTGCACAAGAGCAGTTGGAAGCAGCTGAAGGTACTGAAGTTGTTCTTGATGTGCAGCACAAAGGTGGTGAGAGGAGAAGTACACAGACAAGGCAAAGAACACAAACAGGGTGGATGTTCTGATTCTTAGCAGAGTAAAACATCTCTAAAGTTATCCCTGCTGGTTTCATATCACTCCTGGCCTTTAGGAGAAATGTACTCCTGGGGTAAAAGCAAAGTTTCAGTGACTGCAACATGACAAAGTTGTCTTATCACGAGGAAAACATGGATATGTTATATCTGACAGGCCAGTGTACCCTGGTATGCCAATTGTAATCCTTAATTTGGGGAGGAAAGTTCCCTTGCTATGACTATTTCAACATATCAATCTCTGAAACGTTTTGGATGTGCAGGAATACAGAAGAGTTCACGTGCAGTTTACTCTTTCTGTATGTAATGATCATCCTTGAGATGCTCCTTCTGGAATTTCTTCTGTATTTCTCATCCCTTCTTTTCCCAGCTTAGGTTTTGTGATATAAAAGTAGCATGGGCTGCTCATGGGCTGTCAGTTAAATGTTTGAAAGGGAGGAACAGGTAACTGGAACGTGCTCTTCCTGGAGTGAAAGGTCAGTGCAAAGGGTTTCACTTTCATATCATCTGGGCACAGCTGAAGTTTACAAATTGCTTTACTGAGTTAGGGGAAAAAGTAAGTCAGATTTTTACAAAGGCTCGTAATTACAGAGAAATAGGCATTCAGGCTAGAGGAGTTCCCACAGGACTAAAACTTAAATGGTACAATATTTTGGCAGTGGCTTCTGTTACTGCCAGCAAAGCTCCTGCTCTGATGTTTGGTGATAATTATCAATAAGCTCCAGGTCTCTGGTGCACAGAGAGCAGATCCCACGGACATCAGCTGGAGCTGGAGCAGGCTCAGGACATGCTCTGCTGTTCTTTCACCCCTTGGATATCACCATTTCCACCTTCAGTTATGCTTTTGATAAAAAGTGAGGGACTCTTGTATTCCTGTTACATACCCAAAAACTCTGCAGTGGCCTCGGTGTGAGCCAGTGGTGGGTGACACAGAGTGCCCACACTGAGAGCTTTGCCTGGGTGGGTTCAGTCAGGCCACTGTTCTGTGGCTACTGTAGTCTCACTGTTGTGTGGGTTTGGCTCTTTTTCCTGTTTTCCTTAGAACCAGTAAATTCTTGACCACACCAAGAGCCTGAGGTGCAGGTGCTCCAAGTGTGCTGTTCGCTGTAGTGTGGTTTAAATGTCCCTGCATCCAGAGAGGGAATCCAAAACCTCACCCATGTCAGTCATGTCGAGCTTGAATTCTGTCTTCCCTGTTTCAGTTCATTTTTCAGAGCTGATCTTCATTTGTCCAGTGGTTAAAATAACCTCAAGCAAACTTCAGCAGTTGGAAGTTCCTTGCAATGGTTACAGACTGGTCTGTAGGTTTGAGTTAAATGGATTACACAAGGCTATAATAATTCTGATTTGTATCAGTGAAATTAGGCTAAAATATCAGTGCAGACGTGGGGGTTTATGTACTTCTGTAGCACTTAAGTTTTTTCAGTCCTATCCAGAATTAAAAGTTTGTGAATATTTGTGGGAGGGGAAGAGAGGAGCAAATTTTTCTTTCTCACAAGTTTTCAGAAGGCTCCTGAAGCTGTGATGATAATAGAGCCCTTAAATAATCCTGTAAGGTTAAAAACCATGCAGTTCTCCTTGGAAGTTAATTCAGAAACCTTGTTGGGTGTGTGCTGGTACCTGTTGGTAACACCCTCCACATTCACACTGTGCCATCCTTCTGCATTAACATCCTCTGCTTCAGCACATTCTGAATACTGGTTGTCTCTGCTTCAGTGTAGTTCTTAAATGTTTGCTCCCCCAATTTATGTTCTTTTGGGAATAGAAGAAAATACAAATTTGGCAAAACCCCACCCTGAGTGTGTAGCTAAAGCTGACTTGAGCATTATAATAATTCATACAATTAGAAGCCCCCATAAGATCATCAGCAACTGGTTTTTCTCAAGCTTTTTCCTGTGTAATGAAAGCAAACTTTCTCTGAAAGCTTTAGAAGATATTGGATTGATTATATCTCGATATTTGGGCAACAGCTCATTACCAATAGGGAGTTTGAATAACACTGAATCCTCTTTGGGGGTTTTTCTGTGACAGCTGAAGATGCTGGGGGTGAGTCTCCTTTGCAGGACCAGGGGTTCAGGTTTGGGTGTTTTGCCCTGGGCTTTGGAGCAGTGTTGTCAATGAGTTGCACTGTCACCATGTCCCAAGCACTGTGGCATCTTGCACTGATCCCCTGGGCAGAGCTGAAGCTCCTCTGGCGCGGGAGCAGTGACCAATCTCCGGCTCCGAAAGGGCATTAACCGCGAGCAGTGCAATGAACTCCGTGCTCTCTGAGGTACTTCAAAGGTGGAACTATCCAAAAGGTCCCCGTTCTCAGATATTGTAACTGTCATTTTCTCTCTCTCTGAAAGCATATTGTGGATTTTGTATCATACTGTATTTATTTCATTTAATTTTAAAAGAAATGTTTTCTTTAAAGCTCTGTATATATTGACATTAAAGTTTGCATTGTACTACGTTCTCCTCTTCTTGCAAGGCTGAGTCTGGCAGTGCAGGGTGTGCTGTGGTGGTTTTCTTGGTGCTGTTGCCAAATTGCAACATACCAAAACAACCTCAAAATGGTATTTATTTTTGTTAAACTTTGTGAATAATCCTAAAGGTACATTTTTAAATAGCTGGCAGTTCCTTGAGCACTAGAATAGAAAAGTTGCAAATTCATAACATTTTATAATTGAC